ATAATATATATGAGTTACTGAGTTTGCGTATTTGTAGCGACTGTCTATAAGCCATGTAGATGGCATAAATTTCTTTTCATTTTCTCTTTAAATCAAAAGGTTGAAACCCATGGTAAATCGTTGATCTAAAGTTGCTGGTGAATAGTGCAATCTATCGGAATAATACAAAGAAAAATTTTCCCCCTTAAATATGAAAATATTGGACAAAATGGGGGCTCTGGGTAGAGGGTTGTGGCTGCTTGTACTGTAAGTACACCACATGTCTACATATGTAGAAAGCTGTGGGTAGAGGGTTGTGACTGCTTGTACTGTAAGTACACCACATGTCTACATATGTAGAAAGCTGTGGGTAGAGGGTTGTGACTGCTTGTACTGTAAGTACACCACATGTCTACATATGTAGAAAGCTGTGGGTAGAGGGTTGTGACTGCTTGTACTGTAAGTACACCACATGTCTACATATGTAGAAAGCTGTGGGTAGAGGGTTGTGACTGCTTGTACTGTAAGTACACCACATGTCTACATATGTAGAAAGCTGTGGGTAGAGGGTTGTGACTGCTTGTACTGTAAGTACACCACATGTCTACATATGTAGAAAGCTGTGGGTAGAGGGTTGTGACTGCTTGTACTGTAAGTACACCACATGTCTACATATGTAGAAAGCTGTGGGTAGAGGGTTGTGACTGCTTGTACTGTAAGTACACCACATGTCTACATATGTAGAAAGCTGTGGGTAGAGGGTTGTGACTGCTTGTACTGTAAGTACACCACATGTCTACATATGTAGAAAGCTGTGGGTAGAGGGTTGTGACTGCTTGTACTGTAAGTACACCACATGTCTACATATGTAGAAAGCTGTGGGTAGAGGGTTGTGACTGCTTGTACTGTAAGTACACCACATGTCTACATATGTAGAAAGCTGTGGGTAGAGGGTTGTGACTGCTTGTACTGTAAGTACACCACATGTCTACACATGTAGAAAGCTGTGGGTAGAGGGTTGTGACTACTTGTACTGTAAGTACACCACATATCTACACATGTAGAACGCTGTGGGTAGAGGGTTGTGACTGCTTGTACTGTAAGTACACCACATGTCTACACATGTAGAAAGCTGTGGGTAGAGGGTTGTGACTGCTTGTACTGTAAGTACACCACATGTCTACACATGTAGAAAGCTGTGGGTAGAGGGTTGTGTTAGGTGCTAAGAATTTCCTATCCTGCAATCGAGCAGAGTAAAACACAAAACTTCTAAGAAAATTAAACACTTTTTAATTTCCTCTCATGACTAACTATGACTAACTAATTTACATCATTTACAACCAATTATATACATGTAAAATCGTCCGGTCATCTGGTCAAAACACAAATATATTAATCTATGAATAAAACAACTTATAAAATCCTAACAATGCCCCCCATTTTAAAGTTGTTTTCATACCCTCATCAGAGGCCTAGAGTGGTCAAGATCCTGGTTAGGTCTTCGTTTAACACCATTTGGCAAGCCAACATCCCATACTCTGTGTTCCCGAAGTGATGCCATTTCACATTCTATAGACCTCAGCCGATTTTGTGCTTTGGGCATATTAAGCGCCTCCTCGTATGATGACGGCATTTCATCTTGATGGCTCTTATGTTCAACTATCCCACGGTGGAAGGCTGATCTACAATACTCCTTCTGCCTAGCCGCAATTCTTGAAGATCTTCTCGGGATTATAGTTTCATTCTGGCCTTCGTCTTCTCTCCTCAGTGCTTCGTCTTCATAGGCCTGCTCTCCATCCTCTCTTCGTTCTAAGTTATTCAGATCTTTCTCTACCGATATTGTTTCCCCATCAGTCCCTGAATATTTTCTTGGGATCGCAGTTTCATTTTGGTATTCCCCTTCATCTTCCTTCTTTAATTCTTCCACTGTATAGATTCTTCCTCTTCTATTAGATTTCAAAATTAACCCGCCATCACTTCCAAAAACAGAGGCCTTGCCATTCTGGAATAATACTTTGTTTCCTCTTTCCTCAATCCTTCCAACAGACAAAATATTTCCGTCTAACTCAGGAACGTATAAAACGTTTTCCAAGAACAAGGTTTCACCTCCATATTCGTGACCGAGTTTGATTGTTACATCACCCATCTCTGATGCCTTTATTTTCTCATTGTTAGCCATTTCTACTGAAGTTGAAATACTTTTTGTGTTCGTCAATTTCAGTCTGTTCGACGTCACATGTTCAGTAGCCCCACTGTCCAGAAACCAAATATTCTGCGAATTATTGTCTTCAAAGCCGTTCGCAAATAGGACCTTATGGGTCAGGTCTAGCGTACCTTGTTTCAGCATACCTTCGCCAATTCTCCTTGAGGAGTTGGCAAATCTGCAATTCCTAGCTATGTGTCCTAATTTGCCACAATTGAAACATCTTATCTGCCTGGAATAATTATAGTTTTCCCTTTTCCTGCAATTCCTAGCTATGTGTCCCAATTTGCCACAATTGAAACATCTTATCTGCCTGGAATAATTATAGTTTTCCCTTTTCCTTTCCGTCCACGTATTATGATAATTCCTTGGTTGATCATATTCAAATATTTTTCGCTCTTGACATGGTGATTTGCATGTATCCTCTTTTCTTCTTACCGCAAAAGCGCAATTAGGATCTTCTTGAGGAATTTGACGCTGTTTCTGTCTTTTTTCTTCTAAAAGTAACTTGGATTTTACCATACTAGTTGATAGCTTCTCTTCTTGCTGTTCTAAACTGAGAATCAGCGGCTCGTAACTCTTTGGTAGTCCCAATAGCATAATCAACGCCAATTCGCCATCCTCAAATCCATGGTGACACTTTGCCAATTTTCTATGACATTCCATCATTCTCGCAAAATATTCCTTCATGTCTTCGTCATTTCTTTTGACAATATTGAAAAATTCTCTTAGTAGCTGTAATATGTGCAGCAAGCCATATTTTGTGTGGATATCCTCCAGTATCTGCCAAGCATCAATCGCTCGCTTGCAATCACCGATATCATCTAGGAATGAATCCTCAACTGCTAATAATATGACAGATAATGCCAAGCTATCTTTCCGCTTCTGTTTTTCTGTAGTTTCCCTAGGAAAGCCAGGCTCAATCGCATCCCATATGTCCTTCTGGATCAAAATAGATTTAGTTCTTATAGCCCAGGTATAATAATTATTCCCATCTAGTTTAGGTATTCTTAACTCGTCAGCCATTGATATTTCTAGGTATGCAAATCTGACAAAAAATTATAACTCAAAGCTTTTTTCTTCTTCTTCGTTGCACAAAGTTCAGTCTTTAAATCACTCAAATTTCTCTATCTAAATTTCTTAATTCTATTCTCTATCTTAGTTAGCCTAATAAACTTTTCTTCTTTGGCTTTCCCTTCAGCTTTAACTTCAGCCTTTTTTCTTTACCTTCTTTGGCTTTAACTTTCAGGTTTTTCTTCTTTACTTTCTTCAGCTTTAACTTTCAGCTTTTTCTTCTTTACTTTCTTAGCTTTAACTTTCAGCTTTTTTCTACGGCGCAGTGGAAGCGTGCTGGGCCCATAACCTGTTAGGTGCTAAGAATTTCCTATCCTGCAATCGAGCAGAGTAAAACACAAAACTTCTAAGAAAATTAAACACTTTTTAATTTCCTCTCATGACTAACTATGACTAACTAATTTACATCATTTACAACCAATTATATACATGTAAAATCGTCCGGTCATCTGGTCAAAACACAAATATATTAATCTATGAATAAAACAACTTATAAAATCCTAACAGGTTGTGACTGCTTGTACTGTAAGTACACCACATGTCTACACATGTAGAAAGCTGTGGGTAGAGGGTTGTGACTGGCTCTACTGTAAGTACACCACATTTCTACACATGTAGAAAGCTGTGGGTAGAGGGTTGTGACTACTTGTACTGTAAGTACACCACATGTCTACACATGTAGAAAGCTGTGGGTAGAGGGTTGTGACTGCTTGTACTGTAAGTACACCACATTTCTACACATGTAGAAAGCTGTGGGTAGAGGGTTGTGACTACTTGTACTGTAAGTACACCACATGTCTACACATGTAGAAAGCTGTGGGTAGAGGGTTGTGAACACTTATAATGTGAATTTAAATTGCTGTCTACATAAGTAGATGACATGTTCTCTCTGAACTTACATTACAGGGAGGCGTCATAACCCCGTTATATTTAATGGGAAGGTTGGACCAGGACAGATCGGGAGCCATTGAAGACACATTTATATTTGAATAAAAATAAAGATAAAATATTATCAGAGTTTCTTGGATTACTTAACTGCCATTTATAAATTTTAATTAGAGAACTTTATCAACAGGGGATGTAGCTCAGATGGTAGAGCGCTCGCTTAGCATGCGAGAGGTACTGGGATCGATACCCAGCATCTCCATCTTTTTTTTTATTTCTAATATAAAATTTTATGAAAAAAATTGATTATTGTATGATTTTCTAACAAAAAAAAAATAATTAAGAGAAAGAGACATCTTCTGATCGTGCAACTGAAAGTTTCTGGTAGATAAACCATCTGGCAGAAAAAATAACAATAAATTGTTGATTTTTATAATTATTCCAGATTTGGCCGAATGCCCATTCTTGATTGATCAAGAAAAGCTAACCACGTATTAATGTTAGCCCTCATTAACATGGTGCAAGTTGTACTTCGACGAGCTGATCTTTGAAGCTTCCTGAGAAAAGAGAGGCCAATTCCCAATTGGGAGTTTGGATAATCCAGAACACACAGAAATCCCAAGTTTCTATACAAAATTAGATAGCATAAATAGCATTTACACATGAAAAAAAGCTACTCAGAGTGCCATTGACAGATAAAGAATAAATATTTCAATCTTAAAGGAAATTTTCCAAATGTTTAGTGGATTTTGGTAGGATTTGTAGAGTTTGGTTTCTTACTTAATATAAACTTAGAAAATTTGTTTGGTATCAAACCGTATTTTTTTTTAACTCTAAAAGCTAAAAAAAAAAAAAAAGATGGAGATGCTGGGTACCGATCCCAGTACCTCTCGCATGCTAAGCGAGCGCTCTACTATCTGAGCTACATCCCCTGTTGACAATGTTCTCTAATTAAAATATATAAATGGCAGTTAAGTTGAAGGTTAGACAATCTAGAGATCATTAAGAAAAAGACATTTTCTGATCGTACAACTAAAATTTCCTGGTGGATTTCATCATCTGTCGGAATAAATAACAGCTAATTATTTATTTTTATAATTATTCCCGATTTGGCCGTATGTCCATTCTTGATTGATCAAGAAAAGCTAACCTCATTTGACTGTTAGACCTCATCAACATGGTGCAAGCTGTACTTCAACAGCCAAGAAAGCTGATCTTTGAGGCTTCCTGAGAAAAGAGAGGCCAAAGACCAATCAGAAGTTTGGATAATCCAGAACACACAGAAATCCCAAGTTTCTATACGCAATAGACGATCCCACATGAAGAAACTACTGACAGTGCCATGGACTGATAAAAAATAAATATTTCAATCTTAAATCAAATTAATTCTGGTAGATCCCTTGTTGTTGTGGTTGTCGTGTTCAAAGAAGAGTCTCAGATGTCTCCATGCATCTCCATCACAGCAGCAGCAATATCCACTATCTCTTGTAGATCCCTTGAATGTCAAATATGAATATTCGAAACAATTATAGACGCGTATGATTCTTTTTAAAAAAATTAAACTATTTTCCTGCTCTTACTGCAATGGAAAAATTAAAGGGAAGGCCTGGTTCATCAGGTTGTATTAAATTGCAGTAAGGTCAGTAGAAATTGTTTAATTAAAAAAAAAAAAGAATCATACGCGTCTATTTTATTTTCGAATATTAATAACAGATGGCGCGCTGATGCATCATAATGTCAAATTATATTGACAAACATTTTCAGTTTTTTTTTCTGATCAGGTTTTAGAGGGAAGAATGTTGTCGTCGTTTGTTAGTGAACCAATCTCTCACGTCTTCTCATTGGACGAATGTGGCCATGTTTGTATATAAGAGGGGACTAAGGGAATACGAGGGGGCCCAGAGCGTGGAGAATTGGTGTGGAGACACTTAAAGTGTTTTTCAACGAAGTTTTCCCTGTCTGGCTGTTCCCTTCGCATCCCTGTGTCACCCGAGTCCGATCCCTACCAACGCTACAATAAAGCTAAGTACTTTTTTAAATTTTATTTTACAAATCGCTAGTTCTTATTTATTTTATTTTTGTTGTTGGTGTTGTACTCTTGAGTGTACCTTTTTCTGTGTTTAAGTTACTCTTACTGTAGACCCTAGTTTATGAATTTTTGTGTGATAACCCGTAATATTACTTTTGTCAATAATATCAAATATGTAAACAAATGCTCTTTCGACAATATAATGAGGGCAAGTGAATTAGAAAATATGTTGAGATGTTGGGGATAATTTAAGGAAGAAGAGAGGAAGACCTGTAATGAGCTGGTTGTAACGGAAGCTATGGGAAGGTCAGTAAATAAGCTGCAAGTGATGATCACCAAAGAAAGGAGATGAAATTGTAGAATACTTGTCCTGAAGATAGAGGCTGCCTGGCCGGCATTCATATTTCTGTGAAAAATAGCCACTTCTGCCAGTTAGAGTTTTTTATTTTCTCAACGTTTCGACAAAAATCTTTTGTCTTCGTCAGGAGAAATAAATAAAAATAAAGCATTTGACAACTTTTAACGCCTTGCCAAATGCTTTATTTTTATTTACTTCTCCTGACGAAGACAAAAGATTTTTGTCGAAACGTTGAGAAAATAAAAAACTCTAACTGGCCGAAGTGGCTATTTTTCATAGAAAAACTTGTCCATATAGGCACCAAAAGTCAACCTGATGGACACTAACAACAATGAGAGATTCATTATTCCAAAATTGCTGATTTCAACAAATTACCAAAAGTATAAAACGCCTTAAAACTTTTTATTTGCAATAATTAAAGGAAGCTTTTGTAATTCTCAACCTGCAACCCCAAAACACAAAAAAAAAAAAAAAAAAACGAGAACAAAGAACAGTGAAAAAATAACAAAATGTCTGGCAATACCTACAATCAACATAATATAAATTATCAGTTTCTTAAAATATATTTATTGCTATATCATTTAAAATATATCTACAAAAGGTATTATTTCCCTAATTTTATTCCAAATATCAACACATTATTGACTGTATTGACTCATCCATTGATGAGCTCTACTCATCCCAGACAGACACCATCAAAAGTCTCAAGCTTTACAAGCTTGACACCCTAATATGATTGAGTGGAGATAAGAAAGAAGAAGAAAGGAAGCTTTTTTATATTCGGGAAACCTTTCCTCAGCTATTAAATAGGTATTGAAATTTTCTTGATAAATAAAGAAAGGGTATTTGGCAAATATCCGAATGTTTAAATATCAACGATTAATTTATATCGACAGATGGCGCAAGCCATCAGCAACTTTTAATTACACGATCAGATGATTTTCTCTTTTTTTGTATAAATCATTGGTATTGTGACTTTATTTTTCTGAGGTCTTGAAAGAGGTTGAATTTTTGTTTTGCATTATCAAAGTTTCCAAATGTTTAGTGGATTTTGGTATGATTTGTATAGTTTTTATTTTATTATTACAGAAGCACGAAGTCTAACTCCATCCCTAGTTTTAATAGGAAAATAGATCTCTCCCCTCAATATACTGCTTTTTCTAAACTTGGCCACTGACATCTTATTTCGCTTCCTTCCTTCATTGTGCCTAGATCGCTCTTCTTCCCATCCTTTTTCTCGTGTTTTACCTTTTATCCGTCATACACAGATTTTTAGTCTATTTTTTAGAAATTTCGTATTTTTTAGAAATTTCGTACTTTTATCTTTAGTTCTTATGTAAATTTCTTAATTATTTTAAATAGATGTTAGTTAGCTTTCTCTTATGCTAATTTACTGCATGTATATATTGGTTCACTTTTTCCAACCACCCATTGTACCTGATGAAGGGCAGCTGATGTCCGAAAGCTCGTAGTTGCCAATAAAGAAACTTACCACGCTGTTTACCTACTTGCTGTTTCAATTTATTGAGCGTGGCTATAATTATGTCTGATCCCAACCTTGTACATCTTGCCTTTTATAAGCGTCAGCTCGTCAAGAAGTCATTACAGCTGGCCCGTTGGAATTGTCACCTCCTTTTCAATCAAAAATGCCTCCAGTCCTCCTTCATACCGCCTTCTCTCAGGATCCGAGACCCCGTGAGAAACCACTACTCTTCACGCATCATCCAAAGAGCTGAAGAACAACTCCTCATCTCGAGGATCAGAGGCTCCAGATCTATGATCCGTTTTTTGCAAAAAAACCATCAGAGGCCTCCTTGGTTTGCTTTCCCCGAGAATTCCCCCCGCTGAACTCGGTTCCCTTCTCCTGAGCTTAACCTCCCGAGTGGATCTTCTGAAATCTGATATAGAGCTCCGACATCAACGTAAGCTTGATTTCTGGCGCATGAAGCATGGGTTCCCTTCACCTCCCCAGTCCCTTCCTAAGGACAATATAGTGAATTTAACGGACACTGAACTCTCCGCACCACAAATATCCCTATTGAAGAAGGGTCTTAATTTCTGCCTACCCAAGAAACCAGATCTTTTGTATACTGTGAGCTGCATCGAGGCCTCACTCCAGCACCAGGCCTTGACAGATAAGCACCACATCCGCTCCACCATCACTGGCAAACTCCTTGCTGATTCAAAGAAGTCTTTCTCCCTTCCTTGTGCTGTCAAGAGAGACCTCACCACCCTGAAGGCTCTAAAGAATCAACGAGACACCATCATCACTAGATCGGACAAGGGTTCACAGGTTGTTTTGATGAAAGCAGAAGATTACAGTAAGAAAATGCTCAACATTCTCTCCGATCCTAATACATTTCAGGAAATTTCCGCTGACCGAGTCAAGGCCATTTCAGGCAATTACAGGGCATCACTCAGGTCCCTCCTTAAGAAGGGCTGCATCACCCCTGAACAATTCAAGCTTTTCACCTCCAACATCTCCAGCATTCCTTATATTTATGGGCTCCCTAAGACTCATAAGCCCGATATCCCTCTCAGGCCCATCGTCGCATATCATCTTTCGCCCGCTTTGCATTTGGCTAGATATCTTTCAAACTTCCTTAAGCCCCTTGTCAAAGCCCGCAATATTTATTCCATTCAGGACTCCTCTGATTTTATCGCCAAACTAAAAAACTTTTCCCAGTCTGGCAGCCCCACTATGTCCACTTTTGACGTCACATCTCTCTTCCTAAGCCTCCCACATTCTTTGATTTTTGATGGGTTAGGCTCACTCCTCAACTCTCCTTCTGTCTCTAACAAAGATCAAAAAGTAGTTTATGAGCTGTTCAACATCTGCTTGGGCATGAACACCCTAGAGTTTAATGGCCGCTTTTTCTTGCAGATAAGAGGCTCCCCCATGGGCAGCCCTCTCTCTACAACCGCAGCTGAGATCGTAATGTCATATTTGGACCGATGGTTAGTTTCCCAGATCCACCTAGGAGTAGTAATGTGGGCGAGATATGTCGATGACATTTTTTGTTTGCATCAGAGCACTGACCACTCCCCTATCCTGACTGTTTTAAACTCCTATCATTCCGATTTACGTTTTACCCACAATTCTTCCCGTTTTAATTGTATCCCGTTCTTAGACGTTTTAGTGGTTAATCTCCAGGGCCGTTTCCATACAACTGTTTTTCGTAAAGCCGGTTTTACCCCTTCTTACTTGCATTTTTCATCACATGCTCCCGTCTCCCATAAAATTACCACCGTGAAAACTCTTTCTAAGCGCGTTTTTACTCATTGCTCCCTTCCTTTATTCAGTAGAATCGAAAAACGGATCGTTTACCTACACCTTTTATCCGCGGGTTACCCACGTAACTTTATCGATCGACATTTTTATACACCAAATCACGACAGTTCTATTCCTCCCCCGTTTAAAGATGTTTGCGTTCTTCCGTTTTCTACTACGAATTCCGACATCGGTTTTTATCTGCGTAAATTTGGCATCCGCACGTTTTTTAAAAAATCACCTTCCCTAGGCACATCGTTACGCCATCCCCTCA